TGGCAAGAAGGGTAAACATTTGCATTTTCTAGTTTGTTAAACTTGTTAAAGGCAATAACATTATCAATATATCGATAGATCTGATGTTAATATTTTCGTTCTTCATTTAGATTATTTTCTAACGTGTTTTTATAACTTAAATATAGGGTATTTTCTCCCTCCTTTCAGCATGCCTTCTTAGTGAAAAAGGAGCACACTAGGCGCGAATTCGAGAGGTCCGGGTAAAATTCGAGATAGGTCCAGGTAAAATCGATAATTCGAGAGGTCCAGGTAAAGAGATAAATTCGAGAGGTCCAGGAAAAGGAGCAATGCCTTACAAGGACAATGCTCTCTTTTCATGTCTCCTGCTTCAAAAACTCCTTATGACTCTACAAAACAACAAAAAGTATAAATGATATTGATAAGTACTAAATTTGAATAAAAGTATAATTATAATATTCACAAACTAAAATTAAATACATAACAGCTAAATAAAATGATAGCCACATTACCACTGAAACTATGAAATCCTTCTCCATTAAAAACTCCTGCTCTAGACTTCTGTGCATCAGAGATTTGCGTATGTTCCAACAGGGAATGATTGCTGGAACCCTTAAGTTCCTGCAATTCATATCACACAAGCAAAAGGTCGATATATGACACCTAGTAAATTAGCCTCATTTTTATACACACGCTGGTCAAGGAATTAGAAACGAAATTAGAAACATATTACCAAAATTGAGAAAATCGTTTGTTTCATAGGTTGAACATCTAAAAATCACGATGATTCCCATTTGGGGCTCACGGTTATTGTAACATAAAATGATTTACTATTTTCGTTACAAATGGGAGTATCGTTTCCTGTGATGCCATTATGTTTTGTTTTCAGTGGTGAATAAATTAATGAGGAAAATTTAAATATATGATTGGAATTTCAGTAAATTAATGTGGCGGAAGATTTATGTTCATCTTTTTTTTTTTTTTTAGGCGTAAGTTTCCTATTCCCAAGTTAACTAATTTTGAAGCAGCTTGCTGGCTTGACCAGCGTACAGTTTGCCAAATTGAGAAGAGATATTCTAAATTTGAAGGAATTCTTATCTAGAATAGTACCTTTTAAAAGCGAAATTTTATTAAGAGGAGGAAGAAATACGAAAACACCTGTGTAGAAAAGTGTGATAACTAATAGAACGATAGAAGAGTTATTTGAAGTTTCTTATATCAGAGAAGAAAAATATGTAGAGTTATTAGGTTATTTTCAAGCAGGAGACATAAAAAATGTGCAATACTCTCGCCGGGATTCGAATGTGGACCTCTCGAATAAGCTCCGAATGTACTACCATTACACCACGAAGGCATACAGAATGAAGGGATAAAATATTTTATATACTCTCCTTTAAGCGCCGAGTGTGCTACCGTTACACCACGAAGGCATGCAAAAGGAGGGAGAAGATTCCTTATAAATACACTTGTGAAAAATATTCACCCCCTCTTTTTTACTTTAACTACTTAATACATTTCTTCAAATATTTATACGTATTATTTGCAGTATTCTAGTGATACCTTAACATCTTGTCACGCAGTTGTTCATTCAACTCTGTTTAATACACTAAAAGTGGATTCTAGTGAATCTAGTTGGAGTGCCCAATCTGAAGCAATAGAAAAGCTAAGGGAAGAAGAAAAGAATGGACCTAAAGGAACTGATGGGAATAGTTTAAATACATTGTCCTATAACTATCATAATAGATTATCAGACAAAAGCGTAAACGAGGATTTCATGTGATGGTTAGGCTTTCGATGAAGGGCGTAACATATGATATTAGCCTGAAGGTATATCATACTATCTGGTAGTCGAGATTCAGTCAATTAATGGATCTGTAACAAATTATAGCTTTCTTGAAGAACCTTCTTGGAATATAATTTACACTATTCATATTCCTGTTGGGGTTAATATCGGATGACAAATCTCGTATATGTTAGTTCATTAACATTTAGTTAAAATTCTGTTTTACATAATCCTTTTTCCAAAATTTCGAAATTTTTAATTACACGGTTTTTAATCCTTCCTATTAATTAGTAGGTAATTATTGTACAGTTTAATTAGCTAAACTGCGTATTCAGCTTCACTTTCATGCTTCATGTTTCGGCAGAAAATAAATCACGTATTTTAATACATTTTATAAGAATCGAAAATAAGGATTTGAGACTTTAGCTAATTATTTCTCAAAGACCCTGCTTACTTATATAAGAACATATAATAATGCTCTTGGAGTAGCAGCTAATGAGCTAAAATCAATATGGGAACATTTACCCTCCTCCTCTTCTCCTGTCGTACAGAAAGCAGTTTGTTTCCCATCACTGGCGAATTCACTGAAATTGATATTGGAGAAAAACACGATATTTGAAAATAACTGTCTGGGGGAAAGTTTATTGGAATGGAGAGAATAAACGGGAATTGATTTATACAACAAATTCCGAACAGACAAATCGAGAAATAGAAATTAGAAGAGACAAAAATATAAATTTATCAGACCTAGCTTAGATTTGTTTAGATTAATTAGTTAAAAGTTGAACAAATGAAGTTCAACGGCTTAATTATCAGAACTGATGCATAATGCATAATACTTTTTTTCTGATCAGATTTTATTAGTATTAATATATGGTTGATTTTCCTTTTATAACAAGAAATCTAAAAAGAATTCAAACTATATTTTGTTTCGATTTAATTTTAGATGGAATATATTATTATTTTGTCGCTATTACGCATAAAATATTAATCTATAAAAATCCCTGATTTCAGAATAATACTTTTTTTTCTTCCTTATACGAAGTAAAGGAAGTATTGTAATCGCCAAAAATTTCAGGTATATTTCAAAATATCCATTCTGACCGCTCTCGAATCCATTTGAACGATTTTTTTCAATGACCTATGTGTACTTACCGGCAGAATGAATCACTATTTTTCCGATTGTAAAATGGATTTAAAATGGATTCAGAACAGTCGTCACATCTGTACGTACTCGCATAACTCAAAAACGATTAGGTGTAGATTGTCGAAGTTTTGTATATGGAATTGCTATACTATGTAGTTGTGCACCTCCCATTTTTGTTGGAATCAGCCGCTCCAAACGTATATATATATACATTAACAGATAATCAAATTTAAGGAAGGACTATTAAGAATCCTGCGCCTAGGCTGCAATGATTTAATTAAACATAATTATAATTAAAGGAGAATACTCCTATTAAAATTCTTAAATTTCAAATTAAATTAAGCAAGCTAATAAAGCAAAATAATTGCAATTTGAAGTCTAAATAAATTCCAATTTACAAATTCGTAATTTTTCACTAATTTAAAAAAATTAAAATTTTAAAAGTTAGAAAAATATTTTACAAGTTTTATATGGTAAAAGTTGAATCGGCATGAAAAAATTGCTAGAGTAGTAGATATGCATAAAATTGTGATAAGAATTGTTAATGATAATTAAAGCTATATAAAAAACTTACTTAAAAAGTAATAATTGAAAGGTCGTGAAATAATACCGACTCTTCAGGGGGGATTAGCTTATTTCACACTGCTTCTAGTCGTTCAGACATCGTGTTTCGTCCTTGCTATGCATATGCAAATCGAAACTAGAAATGAAATTAATTGTATATGTTTAATTCCCCATATTTAGCATATTCGCATGCATTTTAAGAATTCTCCTACACGGTGTTAATTGATTTAAAAGTATTTGGAATTATAAACTGTATTTAAATGCAAAAATACTTTTAAAACAAAACGTAAATATCGAATCACTGAGATGAGCAAAACTTGTAAAAATAAGCCATTGTAATGCAAAAGCAAATAAAAGGAGTATATCTAATATATCAAAAATATTAAATGAAAAATTAAATGAAATGTCAAATTTAAATTGGCGGGGGAAAACCTTATACTACAATGAAAGTTGTATTATTCTTCATTCCAAGGGCAGGTGTTTTGCTTGTTGTTGCCAGGTTTATGAGAATAGTACAAATTAGGTTGATGAAAATTGTAATTATGGCATACTAGGAAAAGCGACTAGCTATTAAACCATATAATTAAGTAAATTATTTTTTAAAATTCTGGAAAAAAAAATTATGAAATAGAAAAAGATAGAGTTTAGTTAAAAATCTTCACGCAAAACGAGGTGTAATTGCGACTTAAGTAAATAAATTGGCTCTGAGTTATAAAAGTTTAGAAGTCAGAAAAAGAATATTAAAAATTTTATACTTTGTTAGTATTTAGATATGTACAAATCTTTCCATCTAAGCCATCCAACTTTATCCTCCCGATTAGAGGTTTCGGATTATAGCCTTCATATAGTATCTTATACTAAAATTAATGTTTGCTTTTTGAGATAAAGATCAATAAATTGAGTAGGTACTTTGTTATCCTTTAGTGTGCTAATTAGTAAGTAGATTTCATTTTTAATATCTTGAATGTCTGTACGAATATTACTTATTCTTTTAGTTTGATTTATAAAGGTATTTTCTATTAACGTTTTTGGAAATATTGGAGTTCCAATTGAAATTTAAACTAAAATTAAAACAACCTTGGAAATGCCATCAGGTACATAGATGGTATTATTACTTTCAATAATAATGAAGTAATAGAAAAACTCAAAATATATCCAAGCATTCCCAAACGTAATCCTACTAATAATAATCAACATAGACTATCTTGATTTTCAAAGTCTTGATCATCACACCAGAAAAATTTTTGACAAAAGAAGAAATTTTAAATTCGCTACTATTAAATTAATCATTTATGTTGTTCTTATATTCTAGTTAAGGTTTTTATGCTTTTAATTAATCTGCATGCAATAGTTATAGAATTATCAACAACCAGTTTAAAAGCCTAAGTGGCACTGAGCTTAAGGTGACGACGATTTGTTTAAATTTGAAACACTTAGCAGTACAGTGAATTTAGTTAGTGGACCAATTTCAGCGTCAATCAAATTTTGTCTTCCTGCCCATTGGCCGAACTGCTTGTTTTTGGGCAGAAACTGTAATTTCAATTAAAAATTTTTTTTTTTTGAACTGGTTTTAATGGCATTTTATGTTTTAGGTATTTCTCTGTTTTACAATTTGTATTGAAGATGTTTTGACCTTTTATGTATTTTTTCTTTGTCTCCAAAATAAGAACTGAATTGATTGACTGAGAAATATATCTCTATTGAAATTTGAGGAAATAAGTTTAAATGAAGTGCAGCAAAAATTGTGCAGAATTTGATAATTTTTTTTAAAGAGTAGGACCTCGAATTAAATAATTGCTTCAAGAAATGATTATGGCTTCTTATAATAATTATTTCGTATGCTTCATATTTCTGTCTATTTTATCAAAATTTTGCAAAAATAAAAATGAAGTTTTTTAACGTAAATTTAATTAGAATGAAAGAATTATAAATTAATTATTTCTCATCATATATTGCGTTAACTATTTGCGAAAATGCATTGAAAAATTTAAAGTCGAGTAAAAATTGTTGTTAAATCAAAAATAGGGAAATGCCGCCCATTTAAAGGTGATTTATACGGTATCATGTTTTGATAATTCTCTGAAATTTTTTTTTAAAATTAAAATTATTTACATAAAATATTTCTATTTCCTTGAAAGAACCCATGTCACTGTGCATCCAGAGTCGTCACGTATTCTCTTCTTTTTTTTTAATTTAAATCAGTATGTAACCTTATTCTGAATTCTAAATTAATATACTTCTCTTCCACATGATGCCCGAAAGACATGATGACTAAAAGAAGGAATATCTTGATGTAGGATTCCTTAAAAAAAATTGAAACTCTTTGCCTTTAGAAAGAGAAAGTAAGGGAAATATCATATTTAAAAGCAGGAAAAGCTCTTACTGGATTTATTAATGACTTAAATTTTAAAAAAAGTTCAGCTTAAGAGACAATCTTGTTAAATGCTTTCTGATCATTTTTATTTGAAATCATCTTGTTGTTGTTATTGTTGTTGCTTACGCTCACTTGTCTCACGTAATCAGTTCAAGCTCACGAAATTCATCGTGGCAAGGAGCGCTAGATTACGCCTGCCGTTGGCAACAGCCTTGAGTACCATTCAGGTGACAGTGCGATTTAGCTCAGTTCCGCCCCCAATTTTGATGGAGGGTACCCCAGGGGGGACGGGTCAGATAGTCTCCCACCCTTCTCCCCTTCCACCAAACCACACGAGAGGACGAAAGTCCTCTAAATATGCTATTATATTCCTCTAAATATGCTATTATATGTCCTCTAAATATGCTATTATATAATATGCTATATATAGTCCTCTATTCTGAATATGCGGTGAGCCGAAAGGCTCACCGCATATTTAGAATGCCGCCATGCCGCACCCACACTATACACTTACAAACATCTATGCTTTTTCTCGGATTCGAACCCGGGCGCTTCGGCACGGCAGTCAACGACTCTAACCACTGTACCGGTTGGGAGGCGAAATCTTCTTGAATCTGTAATATAGAATTTTGCCTATTTTTAAAGTGAATATGTACCTTTTATATTAATTTGTTCTAATTTTTTTATTTTATATGCTAATTGTTCTTAAATTTGTTACTCAAATAAATCTTCATTTTTTTTAGATCGGAAGTTTCTGGTGGCAAACGCCCGAGTTGAAAACTATCCAATCATTTATTGCAACGATGGCTTCTGTGAGATGGTGGGTTGGACCCGGGCAGAACTCATGCAGCGTTCGTGCATCTGTGAGTTCTTACACGGCCCGCTCACGAGTGCAGTGGCTGTCGCACAGATTAAAGAGTGCCTCGCCTCCTGCCATGAAAAGCAGCTCGAGATACTTTACTACAAGAAAGACGGTAAGTTTTCATTTATTTGTCTTTACTTCAGATTCTGTTTAATAACGTAAATTATTACTGTTATACAGTTCCAGTTAATTTACGTGGCCTTTGGCTACTAGAGCTTTAGTGAAGAGTCGAGAGGTTATTCACTGGTCTTCTTGCAACTATAAAAGATAAGTTGAAAGAAGGATTAAAATACCCTTTTATTCACTCACAGAAACAGATAGTACAGTCATCCTTTTTCGAGCTTACCGGAAAGACTCCACCTGCGCTTTAACTTAGAAACACAACGATTGGGTTGAAACATAAGTAATGGCCGTTTTTTTTAATTAAAAAAATTTATTTTAACAAAAAAACAATAAATTAGTCAATAATATCCGAGTTTTTGGAATTTCTCCATAGACCCAAGATGTCGAACTACAGTCATTTGGCTACAAACCATTCTTTCGGCTGATTCTCGAGTGGTTTGACACGCGTCTTCGAGCAGTAGTAAATTCAAACGCTCTTCATCAAACTCATTTGGTCGTCCGGGAACGAGCAGCGTCTTTGAGGTCGAAATTTCCGTTTTTGAATTTCGCAAACCAATTTCTTGCAGTTCGTTTAGGCATAGCACCTTCTCCATACACTTCACGAACCTCTAGGATAGTTTCTGCAACATTGGCGCTTCGATTAAACGCAAAAAGAGGAAGGTGCTTACGTGCAAGGTATCGTAGCGCGGAAGTAACACATTCAAATAAAAGATTCAGCTTTTACTAGGGGCTTGTGTTGCGGGTTCGCTCCTTGCTTTTTCTCCTACCTTTTATGATGGTACGAATATACTTTTTTTTTTTTTTTTTAATCTACCGCGAATTTCTTTTTCGGGGGGTTGACACAAGAAACTTACATTTATTTTTCATTTCATTCATAATTTATGCAAACCTAATTTCGCTCGGCATTGTGTGCATTATCCTTCTTTTGACAACGAGCCTTTGGTAATACTCATAAGATCTAACTATTATGATCTGATTCTTTTTCGGCTGACACGAGACCAGCAAAAGCGATACTGGTATTAGTATAAAGTTGCTGTTTCATCTAATTAAAAATTTAGTGAGTTCTGAATTTTAAACGAGTGGTGACGAGTAAACCATTTGTTTAAAAATATGAGAAAATTGTTATTTATACAGAAAAGAAGCTCGTTAGAATGTATCTGATTTCATGTAATATTTTTATGCATTTTTAATGGCTTCATGTTTGTTTTTCTTAACATGCATGGCCACTTTTCGACAGGTTTAATCTTGATGATAATTTTTCGTTAATTTAAAAAACTTTTGCAAGAGCATTAGCAAATTTGCTAATTGTGGAATTCGATTTTTAAAGCAGAAAAAGAAGTGTTATATAAAATGCAGTTACTTCAATGAGTTTTAGATAAAAGTGACCTTATAAAATAAACCTTTAGATAGTGGCTGTTCATTAATATATGAATGACTAATTGAAGTAATTACTGTTACATTTAAGGTAAAAATATGTACATAAGGCAGAAACTAAAATACTTTTTTTAAAAATTGATGCTGTTTATTAACTTAAAAATAACTGCTTTTTTTAAATGTGATATTTAATTTAGTAATGGTGTAAATCCTACATATATTTAAACAAAATATACCTTTTTAGGGAAATTCATGCATCATGCGAAAACATTTATGGTATTCTACCACATGAAAAATTTATTCTCCAAAATAGAATAATACAATTAGGATTTTTTAATTATCATTCAACAAAATTCATAAATAAATGAAATTAGATATATACAGTGTTTGATAAATGTATCGATCCCTTTCTGGTATATAATATTCATACAGTCCAAACGATTATTTTCTGGGATATTCTGACAAAAATCAGTTTTCTGCTTTTGAATAAATAGTTCAATGAGCGCTAGAAATTCATCGAATTAATGAGGTGTCATGCGAAAGTAATTAAAAGAAATTTCGTTTTGTTCAAGCGCATTTCTTTAATTAAATTACTTGCATCTCCTTACTGCAGTCATCTCTCACATATTAATATAAACCACTGCATTCTGCTTCCCTTATACAAAGCAAGAATTAGAAAGAGTTTCAATCGAGCAGAAATTAAATCCATTTTAATTAAAAATGTAATCGTAAAATGTCAAAATACCACACGAAAATTTCACGTTTTTCCCCCAAGTTTCTGATATGAAGCGCCATCCGCTGAAGCGCCAGAGCGAGCATATGACAACTTTTAAATTGAAAGTAGCCGCGCTGGTGGGAACTGGCGTACGCGGAAAGCGTTTTTTTTTTTTATACTTTACCGCTTGACGCCCCAACGGATCAGTGTGAACGCAGCTTTGGTGTATCGCCTTTAGTTTATAAGGTATTTCCCCGGCCTTCCTAGCGTGCCTTCGTGGTGTAGTGGTTCTGCACGCTGGGCCGGTATTCCAGAGATCCGTGGTTCGAGTCCCGGCGAAGGCGATTGCTCCTTTTTCATCTTGGCTGCTTCCAAAAAATACCTAATGTCTCTACAAGTTCTTCTTCGGGAGAGTGTGTTGAGCTCCAGGAACGACTGAACCGAGGAGTCGGGAGCTGTACTCTAGTGTATCGTCGAGTGCATCGCGAGGTGTACCGTGGAGAGTCTCGAGAGTACATGGAGTTCCGAGAACGACCTAGCAGAGTCAGGAGCTGTATTATGGTGCTTTCCCCATGAAGCTGTCTCCACCGTTATAGCCTGATAATCTGAAGGGTGTGTCGCTGATTGTTATAACGTGGTTCTTCGACGACTGTAAAAATGTGTTATTGGAGCTATCTTGAAACTGGCTGATAAAATATGTTTCGATACTTCATCAAGTGTCGTCGTTATTCACTCCAAATCCGCGCGAACCCCGTACGTACTTGACGTAAAGGAAAGAAAGCGTAACAACTTATTATAATCTTAAAAGTACCGTGTCAATTTTTCTTAAAATGTTCACCGTTTAATTTGTTTTAACCATAAAACCATAAAACTTAGTTTTCACAGTAATGTTATCAATGTGAAACTAAAGAACTTGTTTTAATCACTTTTAGTGTTAATTTAATTAATATCTTCATGGTCTTGTTTGCAATCACAGATAATGAGATTCTTCAGTTTTACATCGCAAATATTTTTACAAAAATAAAGGAAGAAGAAAACGAATTATCATTGAAACAATGAAATATCATTATGCTGCACGAACCGAAATCATTTCGCAATTATTACATAATTTGTCACAAGTTTAAACTAGATTAGAAATATGCATTAACAAGTTAGAGACTTAAATTATGGATAGTAGAGAAGCTCATGTATCGATTTTACAAGATACGTGTACAAAATCTAATTTCAACTTTTGAAACATAATGAATTCATTCTCAGCTAAGTATTAATATAGAAATGAACTGCTCTCAAATTAAAAGCACTTTTTATTGAAACAAAATTGAAATATAACTTATATGGGAATTCCGAGTTCTTTAAAACTATGACATCTTTAGAACTACCTGTGCAAAAATACAATTTTCCAAGGATGAATTCCTTTAATGTTTTCAGGATTACCGGCTAAATATTGCTTCTAAAAATGATGTCGGAATTTCAATATTAATAGATTCACTCACGGCTGCAGATAAAACATTTTGAAAAAATTAAATAAATTTACACAGCTTTATTCATTTTTTTAATAGCACACTATCTGAATTTAAGCTGACTTTTACCCATCATCCTTTTCCACTCAAAACAATTCATTCTAATGCTCGCAGTTACTTTCGAAGTTGTTTTATTATAATTTTAATATTATTTAATAGCAATTAGAACCAAGTATCGAGGTTTGAGATGCCGAATACTTTTCGACATGATATTAAACAAAGCTCAATGAAAATTTACTGTCGTCGAAAAACATCCTTCCGCTCTCAAAGGTAAAAGTCTTGAATTTAAAATTACTAATAATCCTATACCTGTTATAGCACGGGTTGCCTGAAAGAATAGGTGACCGCTTTGCGAGACGCTTTGCTTAGTTAGACTGAAACATTAGTTTTTCTTCATAGTTCCTCTTAGCTTAGTTGTTATTTAAAAATATGTAGTTAAATTTCTTTCTTCATATCCGTAGCTCTATCTCAATTTAAGCACGTTGATAGACCAAAGAATCACTTTCTTTCTCTAAGAATTATTTTATGCTATTGATGTGTATTGCGTATACACACCTATAATCTGTAAAGAGTTTAATATTTATAGCATACTTATATACAAATTGCCCGCAATATGTTCTTCCTAATGCGTGTATATATTACGGCAAAGTATGAAACGTCGGCATTCTATAGAATTCCTAGGCATTGTATATCATGCCGGACGATTTTTAGCAAAGTATAAAATATGAGAATTATTACATATTTCCCCTAGGCATTGTATATAATACCTAGACATTCTATAGAATGACAAATGCTCTTTAGGCGAAGTATGTAAAAAAGTTATGATATGGCTATTGTTTAAAAGACGTCCATTTCTCAAAAATACAAAATGTTATTTTGAAAAATTAAAGAAAGAATGTCATTAAAAATTGTTATTCGAAATATGTAAAAAAAGAATAGTGAGGTGATATTGATACAACATAATAAATTTGTATTTTCTGTCTGGCTGAGGCTGGGAATTAGTAAGACTTACCTGACAATGGAAATTAAATTCAGAAATAATCAAAAGTTTTACAAGAATACTCTTTTTAATACCCTTTTGTTTTTTCTTGGCAGGACTCACAAAGGTGGTTTTGCAGTTCTATATCATTACGTGTAACGTTTTTGCATTTGATTGAAATTTCTTTCAACATTCTGTCCCGCCGTCCGTGTCCAGTAAGTACTCAAATCAGTTTTCATGAAGTACGGGAAATAACTATGCGTCCGTGACGTAATACTGTATAGTACTGACGCTTTCTTTAACAAAATACATGAATGTATTTTTGTTTTTCACAAACATCATATCCTAGCAATTCAGCGGCCAGATATCCCGTGATTCCTTTTTAGTAGTCATTGTGGCTT